TATCTTTCCTGGTTTGTCTCTAATTAAATCTTTTTTCTATATCGTTTAATAGCCTCCTATACATTTATTAGAAAAATACCAAGGAGTTTCATAATGCCCTTCCACCTCGCGCGTGTCAATGATTGCAAGTGGCATTGAATGAGCCTCCTACATCTGAAAGATAATGGGAGTTCCACATCAGCAACCATGCATATTGCAAGGAAACCTTCTTATGCAACTAATTAATAACAGGTATTGTGAATTTGATAGATTATTTCTACCTTAAAAATTACTGAACTTTGGCGCAAATAATTTTGGGACACCCTGTATAACAGTAGGCGTGTCCGTCACATCTAGGCCCTATATATGGCCCGTATCTGTATAGACCCAACTTGTACAACCACTTTCTAGGCAACATCAAAGAAAAAAAAGCAAGAATCAAAGGAGAAGCCAAAGGTTTGAAATATAAAACTCTCTGTCATATACTTTTTCTACAGAATAAAAAACACTATTTGAATAAACCGTTTAGAAATGTTGTGCCTCAGCGCTTTGTCGTCAGATCTTCAACAAACTGCCCTATTTGCTTGATGCTCAGCCATTTCAGAGGCCAGATTGGGGCAATGGAGGACGGCTGAGGATAACATCCAAGTTTAAAGGAGGTTCTAAAGAGGTTCTATGCTAAGCAATCACCGAACATGGAGTCTTCAAAAATATGCCATGTGAGGGTTACGATGCTATAGATCGAACATGGGGATCCTACCTTACTCATCAACGAACGAAACAAAAAGCTTTCGAGAAGTGTAAGCGAACCCACCCACAGTTGTAGGTAATCCTCGAGAAGATCATGAGAATAGGCCCTGGGTCGAGACTGCTTCCGCAACCTCGCCCTCCCTTACCTCTTGGAACGAGTCGTTAGAGCAAAGGTTCCTCTGCGTTCTTCATCTTTAGCGCTAAGGTCGAGAGCACAGGGAAGGACGGGACGCTAGCTTTTAGGCTTGAAGTAATAAGTAGAAACGATACTGATGTATGGCACTTAGATGGAGCACTTAACCCATTTTTGAGGAGGAAGAAGGCATTGGGGTGAGTGGAACTCTGAACTCAAGCAAAAGGTTGAAATTGAAGAAAAATTGATCAATAATCTTGATGATGGAGCGCGGACAGCCGCACAGGGGCACCCTCCCTTTTCCCCTACTGAGCTTTTTTGAGTATTTTCATTTTTCACTACTGGAACTTAGTACCCATATTCGTTCTCAGCTGATCCCTGGAGCTTCCGTTCCTCATGTTGGAGTTGTGGAATGTAGGCCTATGCGTTGTTGCTCCTCATGCTGAAACCTACACAGATCGTTTTCAACTAAAATTAGGTGCAAGCGGAAGGTCCACCGTCCGACGGATAACAGCTAGCAATACCCATTACTTGTGGAGGTTTGATTCATTAGGAAAAATAGTTTCCGAACACCGGTAACATCGGATCGGTAACATCAGACTAGTAGCAAGAGGCGGTATCACATACTGCAAAATGTGTAGGTCAAAGGGTTGCCCAGGCGCGGAAAATCCGCTCCCAAACACGTCTGAGATCAGATCGGAGCGCTTAAGATTGTCTAGTGCCTTCTTAAGCTGACGATCACAAGGAGAATAAAATAACAGTGCCCTAGTTCACAGCTCACGAAGCCGTACGTACCATGGAAGGTGATCAAGAATTATTAACATCGATCGGTACGCAGAGTGCTGGTGTGCGTCCCATCAAAATCACCCAGCACTTCCTTACCATAGCAGTTGTTCTCCGGCATAAGAAAACTTAGTAAGTAACTGATTACTTGTACAATTATGCCGCAAATCGATATTGATCTATCAGCTATCAATGAATTGGGATAATTGTGGCAGAGAATACGCCCATGTTGTAGTCCAAGCAGTGTAGGGGCTAATACTTAGCGAATCTGTGCTAAGAGCTTCCCCAAGTACTATTGCCTGAGTTTGTAATCGTTTTCCATGTCAGTACATTTATCGTACTTACGGGAAGTTGTGCCAACGAACAGGCATACATAAAACAGATACGGCAGACTGATAGACAAAGCGACACATCAATTTTCCGTCGTGTATGAATACGAAGTACAGCTCTAAGGTGGGGACGTTGCCGCCTAGGTCCCTTCCTCCTAACGACCTCCTGCTCATTTTAGGACGGAGGCCCTCCTTCTCCGAAACGACCTTCTTCTGCAGTTTCGTTTGCGAGGTGCAAGAGTTAAGGGAGAGCTCACTGATAAAGATCAAGTAACACTTGAATTTGTGCAAATTTGACCAGCCGAAGGAGAGGTTCATTTCTAGCTGGTTCAATCTGAATGTGGCAAAGTATTATAACAAATCTCATCTCAATGCATTACTTATGGTTAATTGTTCTCTTTACGCAGGTATGAACCACTGTGCCATCAAAATTGCTCTGAACAGCAACGAGGTAGTAAATCAGCTTTATCTATGCTCTTTTTCAGTTTTTCGTAATAATTTGTTCCAAGAAGGAAAGCAAGAAAAAAGTAAGTCATATTCAATAGACAGATCTGTTAAACAAACACTGATCCTACTCTGGTCTCCAATTTTTTCAAACTGACATTCGCCCCAGAGTGATGTACCGTATAGGCTGCTTTCATAGTCCGCCGGCCGGCGTGCCGGCGGAGGCAGTGCTAGGGTTGAGGGAGGCAGACAGTGTAAGGCAAACAGTCCACGCCCCTTCGAAGGTTGTTTGTTTTTAACCCCTCGAAGGGGCGTGGACTGTTTGCCTATCTGTCTGCCTCCCTCCTCCCCGCTAGCACTGCCTCCGCCGGCACGCCGGCCGGCGGACTATGAAAGCAGCCATAGAAGGGATCAGACCAGTCAGCCATGCAGTTGTGATTATGCTATCATTTTTGAGGCTTTTGGGTAAATGATTTTGAAGTGGTGTTTCCATATGACTCAAACGAACACCCAATCAGAAACACTCCGAGAACAGAGCATCTCTGATCAGGTTCCGGTGATCGGCATCCGAGCACCCCTCTCCTCTACAACCGTCAGTGTGATCTGTGGCTCCTTGTTCTTGGGCATAAATGAAGTTCTATGTTCAGTTTCATTCCCATGCTTTCATTCCTCAATTTGCCTTCTGTGTATGTGTTACAGGTAGCAAGTAAGGATAATCGCGGTACTCAAGGTACGTCTTGTACGCTCATATTACACCGCTTCAGCGTCTCAACTCATGATATGACGTATCGATATGAGTCCCAAACGCTCCTGAATCTAGCGGAAATCATTTGAAATAGCTCATTGCATTTTGAAGTGAGCGATTGTCCTTTTCCAAATCTGTTCCTTAGGGCTGTTTGAGACCTCCCTTTCTTGGCTACTACACTGATTCATGCCAGGGCAAGGTTTCCGAAGTGATATTCTGTAGTTCGTGATGAATCTCCCCTTGAATGAGTACTGTTCTATCAACAGAGTCAGCGCGTGCTAAACAATCGAAAGAACCGAATCGAAAGAGTGAGGAAGCCCAAGCAGGGTTGGAAAAAGTTCTGAGCCGGAGCCGAGAAGATCCAGAAATCGGAGCGAGCGGCTTCAATATGGCGAATGTAAAGAAAGTCCAGGATGACGACAAGAGTGCTCAGAAAACAGATGTAGGCGATTTTAACCATTCATTAATTCCTTTGAAATAAACTACGCTCTCAACTTTTACTCGAATTTGTGCATGCGCTTGGTGAGCAGTTCGCTATACTGCTACAGTGGGAACAGCTGACGGTGAAAGTGGAAGGTAAAATCTAAATAACATTGGTTGTGGGGGATGCTTCCCGGGATGTGCCATTCTCTCGATTTCCAATGGGTTGAAACACGTTTGATTGCATGCCCATGAACAAATGCAGTGTCTGCTATGATATCGATGTAGATGAAAATGAAGGCAGAGGTGATAGGTGAGCAATCTAGCTCTTGCTTCTTGATACTTAGCTATAGCGATGATTTTCCTTGCGCCACTACTAGATTTTCCCTGACTTAATGCAATTGATCGTAGCTCTGCACGGGGGATGGTCAAGTCGTGCGTCCGTGGACACGCGCGGCAAATTGCGCGGCGAAGTTCGCGGCGATTCAAACGACTCTGCGCCTATTACTGGGGCACAAACTTGAAGTTGTAAGGATAGTTAGGTATGGTCAGCTGATCATACTAATCTACTCTACTACAGTTTTGTCCCCCAATGGTAAACGCCGCAGTCGTCCGAATTCGCCATTGACTTCGCCGCGCGAATTGCCGCGCGCATCCTCGGACGCACGACTTGACACATATCCGTTCTGCACTGCTATGTAATCTCGTCCGTTTCGTGGAGGTTCTGCAACTGAGCCAAAGATCTGGCTCCGAATTCTTCTATATCATTTACATGGTCGCCTTCGCGATGCTCGTTTTCTATTTATATGTACCACATTCACGACCTTTAAGAAATTTCGTTCAGTTCAGTCGCTCTCGGTTTTTCCAGTGGGATGGGGAGAAAAGATAGATGGTTGATCGAGAAGTCAGTTTTTAAGTGCATGTGCATGTGATAAGGACGCCAGTTGCCCTTCATCAACCTTGCTCCTGTGCTCCCAAGAAGCAAGATTTTGACGTAACTTGGGGATCCTGTATGTAAAAGAAACATGAATACTTTAGGTGGGGTTCGATCACGGAAGTTGCAGATGACATTGGTGTTGCTGCTTTGTCTTTAACTATGGATTAGATTGTGCATATAGACAACTGTTCATAACAATTTTACTCAAGTTTTTGTGTATTTATAGCTAAGATCTTTGGAAGAAGATAGATTCCTCTACAATCCAAGAAATCCTCTAGGAGATGTCAAAAAGGGCAGAAATATCCCTCCTGTAAGTTGTTCATTTCACAAAAAAGGTCCGTCATTCTCATCAAATGAATAGCCGATCAGATATTTGACTTGTTTAGGGGAGGGGAGATGAATGGAAAGAAATACCTAAATACCCGACAAATTTGTTCGACAATGAAAGAAAGCACATTAAATTTCTTCTGGGAGTGGCGCCTCTGCTGACGGTATAGAAGTCCCAAGACACCAAATTACCACCACATGGGTAGTGAAAGCGGGTGGAGATATTTATTTCGGAAACTATGTATTTCCCACTGTCTAAGATTGTTCGATCTGTCAATGGCTGCTTTCATAGTCCGCCGGCGTGCCGGCGTGCCGACATGCCAGTAGTGCTAGGGGGAAGAGGGAGGCAGACGGTCGGTCGACCCGGTCGCGTCCTCCTTCGTACCCTAAGCCCCTTCGAAGGGCTGAAAACAAAGCAATTCAAGACCAAAAACCAAACAACCAGGGGCCTATGCAAATGGTTTTTGATCTTGTTTTCCTTTGTTTTCAGCCCTTCGAAGGGGTTTGGGCGCGACGCGACCGCGTCGACCGACCGTCTGCCTCCCTCCTCCCCCCTAGCACTACCTCGGCTGGCACGCCGGAGGACTATGAAAGCAGCCAATGTTCGTTCAGTCATGTATAGCAGGTAACACCAGGATGTGTACCATTTGATGGACTCGAACTACGCACGCGGCACATTCCCAAGGCGAGGCAATCTGCAGACTGTCGCCCAAATAGATTGTCCATTATGTGTGTGAAGGCTGATCTTATGCTACGTATCTGTGAAACTATCATCATTTCAGAAACAACAGGAACCTCAGGAACCTCTGCGAGTCGCGGCAGGTAATCCTTCGGAAAAGCAACTCAAGGACGATTCTATGAAGATAGTCAGTGTACGTTTGTTTAATGGTGCACAGAGAGTTACGTTAAAAATTGTTGAAATGAGTGGAATGAACCCTCTTCAAAATACCAACACAACTCGTAGACGCAACGCGGCTTGCCCAGCGAGCTTCAAAATGACGTCATTCGCACGCGTCGCTGTCGCTTCGCACCCTTATGTTCCGAAGTATCGAGCGTAAACAACTGAAATGCCATTTTCGCAGAAAATAATAATAGTAATGCTATGTCTTCCGGTCTTGCATAAGCGGTACACGCTAGACTTTGCTTAATCATCACCTTGAGCCCGCTTTTGTAGATGAACACTGTGTGTTTCAAACCTCTGAACATTTTTTTCATCTTGTTTTCAGCTTATCAGCTATGAATAAATCAGTAGGCTGTAACCGTGTCCGAATTAAATAATACTTTCTAAATTTTTCAGCAACATTTCCAGCAGCGGCAAGAAGCGAACGAAGCCAAACAAGAAATGTCAGCTAAATATCCGCGGGATATCGTAGTGGTGAGTTCGTTTTACTTTTACTTATTTTCCCGAAGTATCACGTCTCACGTTCGTATTCTTG